CTTTAAAGTTAAAGAATATAGTTCTAAGAAAATTGTCGCTTTCAACGTTATTCGCGGCGACCATTCAATTTCTTCTAGTTGCGGTTAAAAACTTTGTGATCCTCCGATTTACTGTAAACAATAAGTTGTTTTCTTTTTAATTTTCGTGTATGATAAAAAATAACATATTCTGAATATGTTGTATTGAATCTAATATCGATTCGCCACTGCATTTCAAAGAAAAATATCTGATTTATAAACCTGTTTTTACGTCCGTCAATTCAATCACTTGATATCCCTTTAGATACCCAGTGGATACTACTTATTATAGCGTATACGGAGTTCAGAGAATCGCCGAAGTTAATTGGTGAAATTCTGTCTGTGCCAGTAAGCAACAAGTCTTATAAGGCATTTGGCAAAGTTGGACCTATCCAAGAAACATAGTGAGGGTAAAACTGATATTGTTCCGATTTCGCAAGCCTACTCACAGTGCTAACAAAGTGACATACTACAACAAACCAGAGATGTTTTCTGTTTTATGAGCAAAGAAACTACCAAACTACTAAGCGTCCTACCATCCTACCAACGAGAAAAAAACCTACTAATTTTGGTAGGAAAAACCCAAAACGGCAACCCTGCTATCAAGCCGAAACTCGCAACATTCTGGAACCAAAATTTCTTAATTTTTTGTGTACTCTAATTCCTAAAGGTTTGAACAAAATTAAATGAAGTTATGTACATATGTATGTACATGTCAAAACATTACACGGTGCGCCTTAAGCGGATTTAAATGAAAGGTCGTGGAACTGAAAATTTTTTATGTATTGTCAATCCGTGAGGCTCCTTGACTATTTCAAAGCCAAACAGAAAATAATAGCCCGAGCCCTTTTTGGTTTTTTCATTGATAATTCATGCAAAGCTTAATTAATAACCAGGGGCCGAAAATAATAATTATTTCAAAAATTTCAATGAAAAAAATCAAAAGGTTCAAAATATCGTAGAATAATTTCGAGTATACATATAAGTGTGCATGTTTTTTCATGCTCTGTATGAATCTCTTACGATTTCAAAATGTTTGAGCTATATCTATAAAAATTATAACTAAGAATTACATTTCGATTTTAAATTAATCGCTCAAAACAAAAAATCATATATCGAGTTAAATTTTGTTTGATCAAAAATAAAACTCATTTTTCGAGTGTTATTTTTTTGCTCTGAAGTAATAATTATTTTGTTAGTTCTTTTCTTTTTGATCAAAAATAATCATTATATTATGAGTTTTATATTTTTGATCAGAAATAATTGTTTATTTTATTGCGTTTAATTTTTTTTATCAAAAATAATGATTATTCTTTGAGTTTTATTATTTTGATCGAAAATAAAACTCATTTCTTGAGCGTTATTTTTTCTCTCAGTACCTCCCTGGTATGTACATATGCTCGTACAAATGTAAACACATATCTATGTATGTGTTCAACGCTAGCAGCGAACAGTGTTGCCAAACATGTGCTTTTCCTACCAAAACTTGTAGGTTTTTTTCCATTTGGTAGGTTGGTAGGCTTGATTGGATTTTGGTAGGTTTCGGGACAATGAGTAATAGTTATTTGCGAAAAATAGAAAATATGTACGTACCTCCAAATATTTTAGCAACCTTTTTACACAAATATTTCACCGGCGCGTTCGTATAATGGCGGCCACGAACATGTAAATATACCTGATTCCTAAGTACAAACGTATACCTTATTATTGCCAATATGCAATACGGACATCCATATATCGTGACCAAAGGGAGAAAAGGTGCCAAGTCCATTTTCAGAAATTTTTCAGGAGAGACGAAAAATCGATGTAGTTTCGTATTACCTGTCATTCTGCATGAAAAACTAAACTTAAAAAAAAATGGACTTGGCACCTTTCATCTTTAGGTAGCGATATAATTCATGGCGTACTTGGACTAAGATTCCAGAAAAGTCTGCAAATGGGCTCGTACTCAACTATATTTCCGGCGGAAGTCTTCCCAATCGAATTCTGTGTTCGCGAATGTCATCGTAGAAGGCAAATGAGGCAAGAATAACTATTATGTCGGACATTCAGGCAGCGTTAGAGGCCTTAGAGTCTTTTAAAACGGCATCAAGGCTTGTAAACTCTTGAACCACCTGCGAGCCCACAATAGCGTCACGCATGAAGGGTTTGAAGGCAGCGAAAGGACTGACTGTCTCGGAAAGCGTGAAGCCCAAATGCGTTTGCATGGTCCCTAGCCTTTCTGTGGTACATATAAAGGATACACTGCAGACCTACTTAGAAGCTAGCTGGGAATAATCACAAATTGCTGCCTACTGGCGGAAGTCAAAGGGAATAAGACAATAAGACAGCAGGAACTCCGAAAGACACCTTGAACTTAGAACTCTTACTGGCAACCTGACAGCACACTGCAAGTTAACGCACGGTTTTAATTAAATGGGTCTTTCTGTAGAGACGGACTATAGGGTTTGTCGGCTGGTGAATGAAACCCCAGAGTATATTCTATGTGCCTGTCCACGAAGCATGAATCGTAGATTGATACACCTTGGAGAACGATTGCCTTCTCCATCTAAAATTTGGAACATGGCCTCATCCAAAGTGCTGAGCTTTTTAAATAGCCTAAGGTTGGAGTGATTACAATTTTGATTTAGCACAATATACCTTCTTAGGTCGCAGCGCGGCTATCTTCGACGTAATAATAATAATATCGTCACTAGACACGAATAAAGAGCTCGGAAAAACTCTTTGGGGAGTTCCGGGGAATACTACTGCACTCGAAAATATAGTTGACCGCGGACATAAGTTTATGGTTCTTTCTTCGCTGTCAAAGAGGTTAACGCGGATTTATTTGCCGTCACCTATGTTAAGAGTCTTTCTTCGCCGAAATTTGTTTACGCCTCTTTTTTCGCTATCAACTTTTGAGCTCGCGTCTTTATTCGTATCTAGTGACGATATGTATATATGTGTAAAGAGACATACATATGTACATATGGATAAGTCTGTACAGTAAAATGGATCATTATACGCATTTAATTTGTTTTTATTAATCTAGTTGTGTTCTAGTTTTGCTAGTTTATGTTAACTATGTTTTTAAAAAATTTGACATTGAAAACAAATATTAAAACTCAAAAAAATGTTTGGTAGGTTTTGGTTGGTTATGGTAGGAAAAAAAATTTGTCTGTGGCAACGCTGCCACCGAATCAGTTTGCGTATTATGTATATTTTCTTCAGTGCTCTGGTTGCAAATACGCGCTGATCAGTTCAGAAATAAAATAGGGGTATTCTCCAAATTGCAAAGCCGTTACACGTAGCACGGATTGCACGGATTGCATAACTTGCAAACACACAACAACAAAATATCTGGGAAACACCATTTCCTATCGCTGCAAATTATGCAACGTCGAAACCCACAGGGGTATTCACGATCCGGTACATACTGTCTAGCGTGGTGCATAGATAGTATGATTGGCTAATTTTGTTGTTGTTTGAACACATGAGACAACAACAATCATGCTATTTATGCTATCTATGCACCATGCTAGACAGTTAGCACCGAATCGTGAATACCCCTCATGTAGGTAGGTAGGTTGTCGCGGTCGTCTATAAGACACACTTAGGCTCAGGGCCCATTGTGATGCCGCATGTTGGGTCAGCAACTCCCAATCCCTCCTAAAACCATTTTGAACTTTGAACGAATTTTAGAAGATCCCTGATTTCGACGCATCTAAGGTCCTCCAAGTTGTCGAAGAATTGCCTACCGAGAGTGGAGAGTCTTCGTCCAGATAGAGCAGGGCATTGGCACAACAGGTGCAGAATCGTTTCCTCCTCTTCTTCATCTTGACAACTTCTACAGAAGTCATGTGAACGTAGGCCAAGTCGATAGGCGTGCTTGCCAATTAGGCAGTGTCCTGTTATGACGGATACTAATAATCTAATATTGGACTTATTTAGACTCAGTAGTAGGCCATTGCGTTTGGCGCTGAGCACCGGCCTTAATTGTTTGGCAGTTTTGCAGGTGATTTCGTCCTGCCACCTTTCGTTCGCTACTTTAGTGAGCCTCTCGGAGATAAGTAGCTTACAAGTTTGCAAGGGTATTCCTATTTCGTCATTTATATCCCCAAAAGGAAGTTTCGTGCCAAGTCGCGCCAGTTCGTCGGCCTTACAATTCCTCTCTATGCCGCAGTGTCCCGGAACCCATATTATCTTTGGGCGAAATGACTCAGCCATCTCGTTAAGAGATGCGCGGCATTTCATGGCCACCATGGAGGTTGTCGACTGCTTCGTGAGGGACTTTATTGCCGCCTGGCTGTCAGTGAAGATATAGATATCACCTTGGGGTATCATATCACACTTTACCAGTTTCGTGGCCCTGTCGATTGCCATCAGTTCAGCCTAAAAAACGATACAGTGGTCCGGGAGACGAAAGCTGAGGGAGATTCCCAGGTGATGGGAATATACACCTCCTCCAACCCTTCCCTCGAGCTTTGAGCCATCTGTGTATACATGGATGGACACTACTTACAACGTCATGCTTCCACACTTCCCTTGCGGGTAGGAGGGTCGCGAATGCTGTAGCGGGTGCAGGTTCCGGAAGTACATAGTCCACCAATCCGGGTAGCCCCGGAAACTCCGTTAATATTCTACCGTGACCATAACTGGTATTTGACCACTTATTTAGAATGTTCATTCGAATTGCCGCGCCACTTGCGA